GTGGATTAGCAACAGGAACAAAGCCAGATGATAAGATTTGATCAAATCTACGGTTCAAGGCTTCTATTTGAGTGGCTAACTCACTAGATTTATCTACGCCATAAATTTTTTCAACCTTATGTATTCCAGGTGAAGGCCTAGACGTAAAGAAAGAAGCATGTTGCATTGAATTTTCACTTAGAGCCTCAAATAGTTCCCAAGTGTCAGCCGGACTTTACGTAGAAAGGCTCCGTTACTGGATGCATCAACTATGTTTCTATAAGAATCTGTAAGACTATCATAGAAAATCTGTATTAAGTGCCATTGAGCAATATCATGGTGTAGACACTTTCTTAGAAGATCATTATATCTTTCCCATGCATCATGGAGCTGTTCTTCCGCGATTTGGGAAAATGCCATGATTTCTCTTCTTATTTATGTGGTTTTACCCACAGTGTAATACTTTTTCAAGAACTCCTATTGCAACATATCCCACGTAGATATGGAATTTGCTGGAAGAGACTGCAACCAAGTTCTTGCTTTGTCCTTAAGAAAAAAATTGGAAAAGACGCATTCTGAATGAATCATTGGTAAGAGTGTTCAACTTGGTAGTCGAACATAATTCCAAAAACACATCCAAGTGCTTATAAGGATCCTCTATTGCAAACCCGTGAAAGGTAGGAAGTATTTGGATCATAGTAGGCTTAATCTCAAAATGAGTTACATCAGTATTCGAAAAAATAAAGCACGAAGGGGAAGTATATGTGGTTGAAATAAAATGATTCCTCAATTGTGGTTATGGATGAGAAACAGGTGGAACCCATTCTCCATTACCATTACCATTGCCATTACCCAGTGCATCACGCTGGTCAGCCATATTATCAGAGGAACTACCTATTGAATTCAAATGTCTTTTAAGTTTTCTTAATTGACTAAGAGTTCTCTCTATTTCAGGATCTTGCACTGAAGGTTTTGACCAATTATAGCGAGTTAACATGCATTAATTTCACTAATCCTAATAGTAACAAAAATAAAATTTTCCAAGTAAAAGAAAATAGACTAAACTCACAAAAGGTTTAATAAACCGAAACTTTTTATCCCTTAAGCGTCTTTGTCCTCACTGCTAATTTGTACCTGAAAAGAAAAAGAATTAAGGTGAGATATCAGAAAGTCCGAAGACTGGTAAACCAAAAATAAACTAATTAAAAACTAAACTAATAACAAATCTCCCCCGCAACGGCACCAAAAGTTGTTGTGTCTTTTTGCATACTACTTAGAAATTTACCACTCGTAACAGCATGAATCCTTGCAGAATAGCACTATATAGAAAGGTGTCGAACCCACAGAAAGATGAGTTATAAAATTTTGCTTTTAACTAATTCTTATCGGTTCACAAGTAACTGGTTGAATTGATTGATTTGATTGTCATGATTATAAACTGAAATTAATCTAAAATTAAACTGAAATTAAACTAAAGTGATCAGATAGAGGGGTCTTAGGGCTTTGACTTCACCACAACCTTGTAACTATGGTTAATTATTTCAACTCTGGGGATTTAATCATATTGTATTTCAAATGAATTGAACTCAATAACATTCGTTCAATTCGGGTTTTAAAGAAAGATGTTTTATAAAGTTCAGTTAACTACAACCTATCTGCGGTTAGCATGGACTATCCACCTACCTACTCTAACTATTTTAACTACTTTGCAAACAATCCATCTTTCCTAAACATAGACTATGAAACATTCTTTTATAAAAAACGTTAGAATACCATTACATGACCTCCATTCTTATGTCCGGCAAGGCTTCGCCAAATACCGTCCAATAAGAATGGGTTAAGAATAGAAGACGAACAGTTATATCTAAGACAAGGTAATAACAATTCAAAAACTATTTAAAATATTAAATCCAATTGAGTTATCTCAATTGCTCGTAGTCATGTAATAAAAAACATAATATATATTAAAACATCCCAGAGTTAAAACAATCAAACCATAGTACTAGATCGGGTTACATCAATGCCCTAAGAGAGGAATTAGCTACTCATGACGAAGTCGGATATCATCTATACTGTAGTTGTCTCCATCGTCACGGATGGCACTTTTTTTCTCAGGATCTTCACCTTATAAGGTTATGAAAACCTTAAAAGCCACCACATTATTAGCCTTCTGAATAACACCGTCAAAAGGACTTGGAATTTCGGACCTCCTCTATCTAGGCTTACGCCTTCTTTTATAGAAGAAAATAAGGATCTGATGGGCTTTTAGGTCTTCTGGCCCATCTGGGGTGAAATACGCCTCAAAAAGGAATAATCCCATAACTTGAAATCTAATATGCCGTGGAAAGCTCAAGCTTTAAGAAGTCAGGCTCGAGCTTTGGGAACAAGGCTTGAGCTTCTCTGCATTCATGCTCGAGCTTCAAGGAATGGTATTTGATCTTCACTTTGACACTTAGCCAATTTTCATCAACTATTTTCCAAAACGTCTTTTCATTCAATACTTCGAATATTTTTGGGATTGACATCTTTTAACATTGCTTGATCCAAGCTTTATGGGCTCGAGCACTAGGTACCAGGCTTGAGCTTTAGGTACTCAAGGCTCGAGCCTTGAGTAATGGTGCTCGATCCTTAAGGTGTGGCACGAGGCCTGGGAGCTTGGTTCTTCAATCAAAATCAACTCTTCAAATTCCGACGCCTTGTGCTCGAGCTTGAGGGCCATGCTCAAGCACCCTTAAGTAAAGCTCGAGCACCCTCTGTTAGGGCTCCAGCTCTAAGTTACAAGGCTCGAGCTTCAATGCCTTGTTGACTTTTCTTCTTTTCTTCTTGCAAGGCTCGAGCCTCAAGACTTGGGCTCAGCTCTGATTCTTGAATTCTTCCAAGCTTTACCATTTAAGCTCTCGGCTTGCTCTGGATGACCGGCAACAACGACCCTGTAAGCTTCGATATCATCACAAAGTCTCGGTTTTAACCATTTCTCTGGGAAAGTACCTGTAAACACACATTAAACATAAATCAGTCTAACTATGGATAAAAGTATCACTTTATGCCTTAACATACGTATATTTAGGGGCTTGAATATGCAAATATTCAGCGCTCATCAATGGTACCATCCCCAACAGTGACTACGATAAACTGGTAGATTATTTACCAAAGATCAAAAAGGCTCTGATACCATGTTAAATATAAAAGAGAGAGACAATATATTGTATTGATGTGTATGAGATGTTACATAAAGGTCCTAAATATAGGAAAATGTTTGGGGATAAGTGAGTGATGAACAAGTACCCTATATATACTAATATAGTAGGTGTACTCATATATGGTAATTTTTAATAGGTAAGAAACGTAGATAATAGGTAAATGGGTAAACTTGTAATCTAACACTCTTTGTGTATTTCTCTCTATAACAGGTAAAGGAAGAGAGTTTTAGAGCGAGAAAATGATTAGAGAGATAAAAGAAGATACCCAAAATGGAAAAAATAAAAATAAATATAGCCAACTAGTGGACTGGCCACAAATGTGGAGAGCTTAAAGAGAGTATCATACCCTATCCAGTTACTCTCTCACTGGATTGGTCCAACAAAGGGTAAAAAGTTGATTTGGCAGTTGAGTCATATTTACCAAGCTTTCAATTTATATATACAACTTCCGTATATAACTTATATATATATATATATATATATTGCATTTTTATAATGAATTTAACTTTTACTTTATGAGTCTTAAAGAGAAAGAACGAAACATTTTCTCTAAAAAGTTAGTTTTTCATCCAAATAAAATGAAAACTTTCTCTCGTCAGAATTAAGTATAAAAGAAGCAAAACCAGACCAAACGTAAAGCAAATCCACAAGGTAATGGATTGTAATTAATGATCTCTCTCCTCAAACAAACAAAATCAAAACTATTCTAGAAGAAGAATAGACAATTTACCAGATAGAGGGAAAAACAGAACAATGAAGACAATTTTTTTTCGTGAACCAAAGGTGAACGATTTCTTCCCGATACAGAAGAGAAGAAGTAAAAAAAAAAATGTATTTTAATTTAAATTAAAAGGTAAATTTAAATTGTGTAATAATGTATTATTATACGTATAAAGTATAACGTATAGAATGGTATTCGTAAAATAAAGTATAGATGAATAAATTTCTTAACTTGCTAGCATGTCGCTGACTTGGTGATGACAAAGCTATGTTGGAGAGGTGGCATTAATCACCACCGTTAGATGCTTACTGGACGTTGTTATATTGCATTTGGATGGAAAACTGACTTTTTGGAGAAAATGTTTCGTTCTTTCTCTTTGAGACTCCTAAAGTAAAAGTTAGATTCATTAAATAATGCAATATATATATATATATATATATATATATATATATATATATATAAGTTATACACGAAAGTTGTATATATAAATTGAAAGCTTGGTAAATATGACTCAACTACCAAGTCAACTTTTTTACTCCTTATTGACCAATCAGTGAAAGAGTAACTGGAGAGGACTTTTTCCCCATACTCGATACTCTAAGTCACGCACTCACTTATGCGCGACTTTTTACAAGGATTAAAAAAAAAAAAAACAAACAAACAAACAAACAAACAAAACCTCGACTACTATGCTTCATAATATGGATTAATTGACCTACTAAAATTTCACTGTAAGCAATTGGACAGGTATAACATGAGAATTCCAAATTTTGAAAGGTGAAAAAACACACAAGACCCTTGTGTTGCGTTTGGCCGGTATACGAGAATTGAATGGAATACCCATTGCAACCATTCATTTATTTGGTATGCAATGTAAAGTATGAATGGGCATTCCATTGGAATGAAAATCCATTTCACAACTAAACCTATGGAATGAAATCCATTCCTAAGTAATTTTTTTTTTTTTTAAAAAAAAAAAAAAAACGAAGTTCCCAAAAAACCCTCATGTTCAAAGTCCAAAAACACTACCACCGCCGCTTTCCACCACCATCGTCGCCAACTTCCACCACAAAAAACAAGTTCCCAAAAAACCCTCATGTTCAAAGTCCAAAAACACTACCACCGCCGCTTTCCACCACCACCGTCGCCAACTTCCACCACAACCACCACCGCCTTTTACCATCGGCACTGCCACTGCCACTGCCACCATTGTTGCTTCCTTCAACCACCACACCGCCACCTTTACCGTCGCTGCCACCACCACCAACTTCTACCACTACCATTTTCAACCACCGCCACCTTTATTTCCTTCCACCACTGCCACCCCCGTCACCACCACCACCACTATCGCCGTCTTCCACCATCACCACACCACCGTCGTCTCTACTAACTTCCACCGCCGCCTCTACTAACTTCCACCGCCGCCACTACCTCTATCACTGTTGCCACCGTTATCGCCACCTCCTTCGCCACCATCACCGCCACTGACTTCCATCACCGCGAATGCCTTCCACCACCACCACCACCACAGTCACCTCCTTTTCCTTCCAATACTGCTATTACCTTCCACTACCTACACCACTTTCACCGCCATTACCTTCCACCATCATTATTTGCACCACTAAAGCCTTCTACCACTGCCACTGCCACTGCTATCGCTATCGCCATTGCCACCGCCACCGCCACCGCCACCGCCACCACCTTCTACCAACACCACCGTCGCCTTCCACTACCACCGCCATCATTTCTTTAAAAAAAATGATAAAAGAATGTTATTTTGTTAATTTAATTTATTTGTCATTAAGAGGAGTATTTTGGATAATTCAATTTGAAATTCATTATATTCTAAATTTTAAATTGATTGAATCAAATACTAAAATTATTATTATCATTTTATTTTTACACATTTCATATTTACAACCAAATAATATAATGAAAATGGCCATTCTATTTTATTCACATTCTCATTTCATTCCCGCTTACATTCGATTATATTCCTTCTTATCAAACACAACATTACTACTATTTTTGAAAGATAGTTGGGCATGGGTTTAAACACATACGACAAAATCCATAGACGGCTCAATTGGATAATCTAAATAATAATTTAAAGGATAATGTAAATAATACTTTAAAGATTGAATTGACAATTAAACAACAGCAAAAATACTCATTTGGTAAAACACAAAAGACAAAATCAATAAAGAACTAAATTTGATAAAGGGACCTAACCAATCCATTGCAAAACGCTATTGATTTATTTATTATTTTGTTCTTTTTGTTGAAAAACTCAACTACCGCAAAATAAAAGTAATAAATAGTAGAAATTTGCTAGGAAAATCAAGCCATGCAATTGTAAACTAACTCACGTTACGTTGAGCAAGTGCAAGAGTATGAGAACGAAAATCGAAATCTAAGTCTTACAAATAAGGAGGGAGTCATTGTAAGTCTAGGAGTGGCAATTCGTGTTCGCGGATCGTAATAGTAATCGTGTCGTGTCAATTTTTGAGTATTATATTAAGTAGCTCAAGTTGAACACGACCCGTTTAATAATTGTGTCATGAACTCTTAATATTATCCCGACCTGTTTATTAAACGGATTATTAATCGTATCATGAACTCTCAACACTGACCTGACCTGTTTATTAAACGGGTTACACATGTAACCCGTTTAATGACCTATTTTAAAAAAAATAATAACAAAAATAATAATAAATACTAAAAAAATATAAATTTTAATCAACTAAATTACAAAATAGTTTCTACTTTACAAAAGATTAAATTATAAGACACAAATTTATATAATAATTTTACAATTAAAATAAAAATTTATTTACGACATATATAGTTAAACGTATATAAACGGGTTATACGGGTTGAACCTTTCAACCCAAACACGACACGATTAACTAAACGGGTTAATCGTGCCGATCCGTTTATGACTCAAATCCGTTTAACTCGTGTCGTATTCGAGTCGAGTTGGCAAGTCGTGTCAACTTTTGCCACCCCTAGCCTAAGGGCATGTACTTCCCTTAACCAGATCTGTCCCTTATAATGTGCTATTTTTAAAATAAAATAAAAATAAAAAAAATAATATATATGAAAAATTTTATACAACCTAAATTTTTTAATTTTTAAAATGACCTCATTAACTTTTTCTTTATTTTTTCTTTAACTCTTCAAATTCTTTTAATTTTCTTAAGAAAAAGTCTAAATTTCCTCCCTCAATCGAACTCTGACTTTTTCTTTTCTTTCTTATTTATTTATTTTTTCTTACTTTTTAAAAATTTTCTTTTTAATATGCATATTTAAATAATTTTGATCTTTATCTTTTACATTTGTCGTATTATATATATATATATATATAGATATATTGTACTGTACCTGCCCACACAGAATGAGAGCTAGCGCGAAAAGTGAAGGTGTGAATGCACTCGGAGCATGAGAAACATATGTTGAGAATTAAATTGGAAATCTCATCTTAGCCCCACTATTGTACACGTAATGAAAACAAGTTCACACTTAGAGAAAATGATTGATCTTGGTGGGGACCAAAGCTACCCAAAACATTCAACACTAGTCCGCGTTTTAGGTAGAGTTTGGTTTTCGCATTCTGGAGAACCTACCGCTGCTCTTGAGAAATTAATTTGTGGGTACCACCATTGTAAACATCAAATATTTGGTGCGAAAGCAAAATTATAGACAAATATTTGGTGCGATGATTACATGGCTATATTTATATTTGTATATATATAGATATATATATATATATATATGTATGTTAAGATATATATATATATGTATGTTAAGATAAATTCACATTAATACATTCCTAAGTCATTTTTTACTTGATACTCCCTCCGTCTCAATATAAGTGTCACTTATGGGGAGTAGTAATTTTTAAGGGGACATGTGGGACCATGTATTGTTTGTCTGAAAAATTACTATGTTGCCCTTTTAAGTTTTAAATATTGAAGTTTGAAATTTAAACTCAAAAGATATTTTTGGAATGATGTAAAATATATTGTTTAAAAAATGAAAGTGGACACTTAGACGGACAAAAAAAGAAAGCATGACACTTATTTTGGGACAGAGGGAGTATTATTTAAGTGTAATACTAAGTATGCTATACTAACTATTACATCTGATGTAGGGGTGTGTAAAAAAATCGTCAAACCTGAAAAGTCAAATTGGATCGAATCAAATCGGGTGATATGGGCCGGTTTTATAGCGGTTCGGTCTGTTCATGGTTCTAAAATAATGAAAACATGAATTTTTTGTTCAGTCCCGAATTAGGGTCTTACAGAACCGGATCAAGGAATTTCGGCACAACAATCAAACGGGAGCCAATATTCATCACTATCAGATATTTTTTACTTTTACTTCTCCCAATGTTTTGATTTTGGGTGCGTGCCAACATTCCTCCACTATTTCATTTTTTTTTCTTTGCTCACACGGCCTCATTCACTTCTTAGTTTTCATTGTCGCGGGATTCAGTTGTTGATAAATCTCTCTCACGTAACCTTCGAAGTTCGGTTATCACTGTCGTCTGTAACGACCCACTCCTCCACGTGATATAATATTGTCCACTTTGGGCCTGAGCCCGCACGGTTTTACTCTTAAGCTTTACCCTAAAAAGTCTCATACCAATTGGAGTGACACACCTACATATAAGCACTCACCTTTCCCTTTCCCAGGCAATGTGGGATTGTGCAACCGTAACTTGCCAGTGTGATAGCCTGTCAGTGTCTTGCACCTGCTCATGGCACACCCGCCCACAGGTTCATCACAATCCACCCCCCTTGGAGGCCCGACATCCCCGTCGGCACACTTCCGGCTGGGTAAAGCTCTGATACCATTTATAACGACTCACTCCACCACATGGTATGATATTGTCCGTTTTGGGCTTGAGCCCGCACGATTTTGCTCTCGGGCTTTACCCCAAAAGGCCTTATACCAATTGAAATGGCACACCTACATATAAGCACTTCACCTTTCCCTTTCCCAGGCGATGTGGGATTGTGCACTCGTAACTTGTCAGTGTGGTAGCCTATCAGTGTCTTGCACCCACCCACAAGGTCATCACAATCCACCCCCCTTGAAGGTCTGACGTCCCCGTCGGCACACTTCCGGCTGGGTTAGCTCTAATATCATTTGTAACGACCCACTCCACCACATGGTATGATATTGTCCACTTTGCGCCTGAACCCGCGCGGTTTTGCTCTTAGACTTTACCCCAAAAGGCCGCATACCAATTGGAGTGACACACCTACATACAAGCACTTCACCTTTCCCTTTCCTAGACGATGTGAGATTGTGCACCCGTACCTCGCCAGTGTGGTAGCCTGTCAGTATTTTGCACCCGCCCACGGCACACCCACCCACAGGGTCATCACATCGTCTGTGACATCCTTTCTCACACTCACTCCCCCTTCTCTCTCACTTTCAATTCACAGATCTCTTAGTCTCACAGCATGTTTCGCTTCAAACACAACCAACAACGATAATGAATCAAGTTTCTTAGTTTTCAACCACTGATTTGTCATCCTTTTCAATTTCAGCAAGATTCAACCTTATTTTTAATTTCTAGGGTTTAGCTTTTAGGTCTATTTCATCCACTTTTCCCTCCCTTTTTCTCTTTCTATTTTAGACTTGGATTTGGAAATGTGAATGTTTTTATTATTATTATTTTTGTTGTAAATACAATTTAAGGGAAAAAAAAATGGGGAAATAAAATTCAACTAGAATCGTGGGACCAAACCAAACCATACCATTTTTTCACGGTTTGGGCTGGTTTGATTTCATGACTCATATAGTATGATCCGGTTTCAGAAAAAGGGAGCAGTTTAGTTATAAAAATCCTCAAAATTGGATCAAACCGAACCGCCTAATTTGATATAAGTCTGCAATACTAGCTACTAATTAGTGATAAATAAGGAAATTTCCTTTCCTTTCAAAATATTCAAATCAATAATAAACACATCTGTCTATAAAAATATCAGGCTTCAACGAAACATTGGAATTTGGTGTTTGCAATTGGTATAATTTTCACACTTGGAAAATAGTACAATTACTTGTCTAAAGGCAAATTATAATAATACTTTACAAGGTGATAGAGCGCCAATGAAGACATATTTTTTTTTTTCTTAGAGCAAAATGCAATTTTTTTTTAGCATTTTCTAGATTTGAAAATAACCATGATGAATTATCAAATTGAAAAGTAAAAACCTTGCAAATTGTTTTATGTTATGCCTTATTTATTTTGTTAAAGCATGGTTGAAAGTGGGTTATATTTTGACCAATATATATAACGATCAAGTACAAAAAACACCCTTAATGTATACTTTGCATTACACTTTCACCTCCTATTTGAAAAGGGGTGCTAAAAATACCCATATTCTTTTAAAATTATGCAAAAACACCCTTAAAACAGAAATCTGATATAAAATAATATTGTAATACTCGTTTTGCCCTTTTACTCTTTCGAAAATGTCC